AAAATAATTTCCCATTTGCCACTTTTTAATCCATGTTGATACTCTCCATTATAAGTAACTTAATTAGAACTTAAGTATAACTAAATTAAAAACTCTCTCCAACCCTTGTGTAATTCAATCCATTTCTCATGTTTAAATCCATTTTCATCATAAGCTCCACAACCACTATTATTAAATTCATAGTTTTTTACATTATTTCTTGATTTTCATATTTTCTAAATATTGTTTACTTAACACCGCATTTTAATCCATTTAAATATTGTCCATTTTCAGTTATATCCAAATTACTTTTATAAAATATAAAATAGAAATTATTACAATTCCCAATTTTCATGGAGTTATATTCATTTTCCATTTTTAAACCGTTTTCATCATATACTCCTCCCCTACTATTAGTTATTTATACGAATTTATATATAAATTAGTGATTCATACATAATTAAATTTTTTTCCCTAATTATATTCCATCTACCTTATTTTATTCCCCTTTTCTATGCTCCATGATCATTCAATTCTTCACAACTCCTAATATTATCTTATTTTTCTCTATTACTCTTTAAGATTTTCAATATTCTCAAACCAATCTTTGATACCATTTTCATAATAAAATCCTCCCCAAATATAAATTAGATTAATAGATTGACTACTCCATGATAAGTTATTAAATTCCTTGAGCTACTATTTTTTAATATTGAATAAAATCATTATTTATTTCAATCCAATAACCAACTATTTATCCATAATTATAAATTCCACTTCCTCTATTTTAAATATAAATTTTTCATAAAATTTCTTACATTACTTAATTTTTTTTGAAATAGTATCCCAATATCCAATTTTTTTATCATTTTTTTATTATCATTAGGAAGAAATTTAATTCTCGCTATTAAAATATGCATATTTGGTACTATGAGAAATTGTCATCTAACTCTATCCATTTTCTCTCTTTCATCCCATTAAAATTATAATATCCCTTAGTTCTATTTCATTTTATTTCATTTTATGAAAATAAAATATTAAAATAAATGAGTTTTACTTGTATATAAAATTACTTGCAATAGTGTTCCACTTACCAAATTTTTTTTTTACCATTTCGATAAAAACCCTGACATGTTATCACATCACCCATCACGATTTCTTAATTATTTTACAAATAACAATACATTTTCCATTTATATATTAAGTCTATCCACCATCCATCTTTTATTCCATTCTTATCATAATATCCTCCACTTCTGCATTTATTCAATTATAAAATTATAATTAATTTTTAAATTTACATAGTGTTGATCACTTTATAAGTTAAAATTGTGAATTAACCACTAAAATTAAATGAGGATATAAGAAATTAAATATAAATGTAGTAAATAAATAATTTAATGAAGATAAAACTTATACTCAAATTAAATAACTATCACGAAACAAAAACTAAAAAAAAATTAAATTGCAAAAAATAATTAACAATCTAAGTTTAATCGGTAAAGTTTGGAAAAATTTTCTTAACTTAGAAATAATTTTTTGAATCCTTTGGTTGAGATTTAGTTTATCTTAAGAAAGACTTTTATTTTTCATAGTGAAATGAATTTCTGTGCATTTTTGAGGACCTGCAGAATAAAAAATAGAATTTTAAAAGAGAATTTTTTGAAAAACCCAATTTTCCAATAAAATGCTCAAAAACTATTGCTCCACCTTTTTTTAAGAATAATTTTCTTTTAAGAGCTGTTGATATTGATAAAATAAAAATGCACAAAAGGAATGGAATTGAACATTTTTATTTATTATAGAAACCATTAAGTTGATGAGCTACGAATGATGAGGCTGGAATAAAGAATTGAATTTGTCTAGCAACCCTGTTTCTATATCTTTGAACTCTGAGGAAACGGTTATATTTTCTTAAATGAAATTCTAATCTTTTTTTCGCATCAAAGAAGAAGGCAAAAATTAGTAAGCAGAGGATTTAAAAACCAAACAATCAAAGGTTCCTGATAGATGTAAATAATGATTTAATAAAATTCTTTTTTATTGTGTTTATTATTAAAAATATATAATTCAATTGATATTCTAATATTTTCTTATTTAAATTAGCGATGATTTTTTATCCCAGGTGATTAAATATTGACTGTCTTAACTCATTTAGCCATAAATACTTTCACCTGCTAATAAGTCAATAGACATCTATGGAATGAACTCATTATTTTCTTATCTTCTAATTAAGTTTATGAATGAGCCATTTTTATTAACAAGCAAATCTTTTGATTTTCGATATTATTATGGAAATAAACAATCACAATTTGTTCCCCCTTTAACAAAAATGCTTTTAGTTTTTATAAACTAATTTTTGCTGTCCAATTCATAAACGTCCATAAAATTTTCACCCCATTATTAAAATGTGAATAAATTATTGCTAATTAAACATAATTTATATCCTTCTTTATCAACCTCAATTTTTTAAACTATGTTCCAACATTTGATATTCTAAGTTTTTGTTATACCATAACAAAGATTTACTTATCTTAACTACAAGAGATTAGTTTATCCCCTTGTTCATTCAGACTTAAACCAAAAACAATACTATCATGATCATTTATAATTATGTACATTGCCATCCATTTTTCTCTGTCCAAAATTTGATTTTCTTATCTTGACTTGAAGAAATTATACAATTTTTTTCATCATTTATTACTAAGCCTAGAATGACTTATTTATGAGCTTAGATTTTTTACAAACACTTCGACGAATGTATCCGATTGATTGACCAGATTTTTATGGATCCATCCCAATCAGAGGAGACTTTATAATTCTTATAAAATTCTAAAACAGTAATTCTGTTATTGTGTCCATTAATAAAATTGACTTATTTCATGATTTCTTTTTTGAATTAAAATACTTTAATCATCTTCCAACATGATGCTAGGACATAAGAATTGTCACTTAATATTGCAATTGCTGTACAATATTATTTAACTTTGATTTACTCAATTAGTTAATATGTGGATTAATCTTAATACAGCTCTGTCATTTAAAAAAGTACTATTTATACTATTTCATTTCTAAATAAACAAGAAAGAACGTTAAAATATACAGTTAAAATATAACAAGTGAAGTGATTCCATTATAAACGTAAGAAGAGGAGAATTTAAACTTAGATAGGAGTTCATCAATGTTATATAAGGATTCAAATATAAGTAGTAAGGCATTTGTTCCTGTTCCATTCAATCTAACAAAAAATTTAAGAAAAGGAGAAATAGTGCAATTGAAAAATGGTGTAGAGGATGAAGTTAATTTAATACTTCACGTAAAGTGGTTAATTTTCTTTTGGATATTCTTAATCATATTACAAGAAGTTAATCACTTTTGATAAGCTAATATTTGTGGAGTTTTGAGCATTTTGCAATTTATACCTAATAGAGAAGTTATTTGAGCATTTAGATTTTCTAATGGAATTGATTTAGGTATTAAGTTCATCTAACTATATATAAGATTAAGAAGTCTATAAACATTTGAAAACATTCACTGTTGGTTGTGTTTTAGTATTTGTTTCCACTTGGTAGTTCTTAAATATTCACTATCATGTCAGATGGAGATGTTATATTAAATACAATTTTTACAATTATTCTTGGAATTGTATAATTTGCTCTTAGATTTATTTCTAAATATTTTTATTCAAGATGGAGTAAAAGACCATTAGTACTTTATGGACTGGACTCATTTCACTTATTATTTGTTAAATAAAATTTAAATATTTAATATTGAACTCTACTTTATTTAGGTTCATTTTCTATTGCAAGTGTATTTTGTTTTATATTTTTATAGTGAGAAAGATGAAGCAAATAAAATTAGTTATTATAGTTTAGGAGTAGAACATATTAGTTTAAAGGAGGATGATGTAGTAGTTGCCTTTGATATCTTAGGTAAGGATTTAATGAGATACAAATAATGAAGATAAACAAGCACAATAGATTTGGAGGAAT